TGCCATTTGTAGCTTAACCCTAAACCTCCTTTATATCACGTCATTCATGTCTTTATATGTAATTTTAAAAATCCTTTGTGCCGTTTTCTCTTAACCACATTAATTTTGCAGGTTGTTGGAGTTAAATTTATCTCTCTGTAGTGGTTACGGCTAAAATGCTTAAGACCATAGTAAAAAGTGGATATCACAATAAAAAAAAGACTTTTAAAAACATTACTCCACTTATCTTTTGATTTTCACATGTTTCAACCAAACATGTATCTTTTTGTTTACAAAGCAAACACATCTCGCAATACAACGAAATATTTTCTTAAGTTAAATAATAATTCAATGGGGATGATCGATAGTGGCTAGCGATGGTCTATGATACGGTCCACCAACTTTCGCAATGGTCGGTCATAGGATGGGTGACCAAAAATGTATGACCTCGAACTCCTCCTTGCTTTGGAAAGCATGTTAAGCCTTAAGTTTCGGCTGCATCTGTAGTCGTTAATACTCACCAATTCGCACTGGACCACGTAGTGGGTCATGGCCCAATCTCACTTTTCGATTCGGTTCCATCCATAGGCCTGAGCCACACCAGTGGGGAAATGAAAAGACAGGTGAAGACATAGTAATAATTATTTTTTAATATTCAGATATGTAGTTTCAATTGGCATTAAATGGTAGAGTGATTTAATGGAAGCCAAGATATAACTACTTTGACATATAATTTTACGAGAGCAGAAAATTACAAAATAAGTTTATTAACATGTTTGTAAAAAACATTTTGTTTAGTTTAAATATATAAATAATGTAGACAAAATTACTAGTTCATGTCTCAAATTAAAGAGGTAGCCAAATCACTAAGGAAATTTGAAATAACGAAGGTATCATACCGTGCGTGTAAGTGACGCGATTATTTCAATGTATTTTTAAAAATAAATATAGCACAGAGGTTTAATAGCACGAGTTCGAATGACGTCAAGGGCTTTTTCTTTTTGTTTTTTTTTTTAGTTTTTCATTTTCTATACTCTATTTTTAAAAGTTCAATAAATTTTCCCTTCAAAAAAATATTTCGATTTCTTTGTTATTCGGGCTTATATTTGCTGCGAGACCCGCGTCTTCTACAGTGAGCATGACAGACACGATCGAGAATCGAACCCGGGATGTAAGAGATGGCAACATCTTGTAACTGGCGTGTAAACCAGTCGGCTACGGAAGTCGTCGTATAATAACAAACATGTTGCAACTATTATAGCTTCGATGCATACGAATGGTTCTAATAAAATAATGTTATTCCTTAAAATATATACAAAGTCGTGCTATTTCTCTTTATTGTATTATAAGTAGATCAATCAGCGAAAGCCATTTTAAATCAATGAAAACGAATAATAGACCTTTTTTCTTATTTCCAGAAAAAAATATCATGGAAAGTTATATTATGTCGTAAAATTTGTAGTCGAGTTGTGATGTAACTATAATTTTGAATTTTAATGTTCTTGGTAACATTTTGACCTAAAAATAAATTGGATGCCTCCCGAGCCTCGAGATTTAATGAATAATAAAACAGCGTAAATTATAATTTAGCTTATTTTAACATTACAATAGATGGTCATAAAGTCTACGGCTTGTTTTGTTTGTAAAATATTAATTTTGCGGAAGCGTCTAAAACAATTTTAGAAGCTTCCACTGAAAGTACGACATTAAATAAGTATTGAATATGCGTATTCTATTATAAAATAACGATTTTTACTGTTACAGTAGTGGAATAAAAAAATTGAACATTAGACAAATTCACATACGTTGTTAGATACCAAAATATGTATCTAAAGCACTTGTATTATAGAACTCTGAAATAACATATACCAAGATATCAGAACAACCGGCCCCTAAACAATATAGAAAATTTCAATTTCTATATTGTCCAAACCGGTAATCGAACCTCAGGAATGGCGACACAATGAGGAGAATAAATAAAGTACAAGTTTTTTGATGTGTATATATTTATTATATGTTTGAGGTATTTCTCTCTAAGTAACCCGTTGTCTCTATCATTAGGTAAGGCGACTCAACTGTGAGGATGTTAGTAGGCTAATGATAATGGTATATCATCAAAGGTACACCTTTGGAAGTGAACTGCGCAATTTACGTTTGACAAGACAGAGAAAAACTAAAATAATAATAGTACTTAGTAATCAAAAGGAGATGGTTCACGCTCCATACATAGTTTGCCCCATATGTAAGTCAATACATCTAAAACAAATTTGGATTTCTCTTTGAATATGTAATTCCTTATAGCTTATTCTTCACCATTTATATATATTATGTACCTTTATTAATTGTATTCTACACCCACTAGGAAGTTTTACTATCTGCGTTAAAAATGAAAATGATTACTATGTTTTTTCATTCTGGTTTTTTTTTTCCTTTAAGAATAGCACTTTTGAATCCCCACTAGATATGCTGTTTCAATATGTTATGTTCAAAATGTAATCATATCAATATTTTGTCATTTTTATCTTATAATCTCTTGCGTATTTATATAATATATATTGAAACATGATGCAACTCTGCCGCAACTTTTGGCTATCTCCTTTAAAGATTTAATCTAGTCTTCCATACATCCCTAATGAAGGGTCGAGTCTAAAAACATAAAGTTTGTCCATCTCCCATCTTTGGGTACTCGCGGAAGAACAATTTTCTAGTACAAGTCTTAACTGTTGATCGGCATGTGTTGTTACTTGTATACACTTTTGTGAATCTAGATGTCGAATATGTTTAGTCTGAAAGAAGAGTTTTTTTTTATAAAAGATAAACATTTTATTGACTATTATAGTTAGTTTAAATGGACTGGCTATGCACGTACTGGTGTACTTCTCTAGTTGCTTCATTTCTAAGCTTATAGAGGTATATATCAAGGTACAATAGTATATACATAGCTTCAGAACCTCCACTAAAATCTTAAATAAAAGAAAATGGTCTTTAAATAGGGCATGTACTAAATTAATATCGTTTCTAATTAATATAAAAACTGATAACCATCCTATTAATATTATAAAGGCGAAAGTTTGTAAGTATGGATGTATGGATGTTTGTTACTCTTTCACGAAAAAACTACTGGACGGATTTGGATAAAACTTTACAGCAATATAGGTTATACATCAGAATAACACATAGGGTACTTTTTACTGGGAAAACTTCTCACTCCCACGGGATACCGACTTCCACGCGGACGAAGTCGCGGGCGTCCACTAGTTTGTTATATATAATTTTCTGTTCTAGTCACAACAATGTTATTTTAATATGTTAATTATTTTAATTATTACCCTTTCGTCGTAGATCCAGGTTTGAGAACCAGCGCGCCCTTTACATACATATAGCATCATGACGGAATATAAATAATCTAAACATTTATCTTCTTTCTTGATTTCGCCATTTTTTGTGTATACCCAGTACTGAAATATAATTTAAAAAATGTATAGTTATAATACTATCAGAATTTTTAACGGTCAGTTGAAGAAACGTCCATTAAGGTTTAATGACGCCTTCAACCTCGAATGAATGTCAAATTTAAATGGGTAATGCCGCTTTAAACTAATTAAAATTTTAATGAACGTTTGTGCAACTCGCTGTTTGTCTTCTTAATTATAGAATATATTTTAAACTTAATTTTGTTGTTTTTATCGTCTTATTATAGAACGAAGAACGAAAACTAAAGTTACTCGTACTACTTAGTATAAACAACCTCTTGCTAACTTTTTTAAGAATAATATTAAGATAGTACACATCATTATCAACTTATAATTATGTTCTTTTGGGAGATAAGTATTGTCTATGGATAGAATCAAAAAGGTAGGACGGACTATAACTAACTATGTTTTAAAATTATTTTTAAGATTTATCGGTACTATATATTTCTTCTAATAATATTAATAGATATAGTACTTGATTGCCTCCTCGTTGGTGACAGGGCCGTATACTTATGCCCCATTCATTTTTCAGACTAGACGAATCGAAGCAAACTGAGCGGTTACTAAGGTTGTAAATCTGTAAAAAATGGGTACATTATAGCTTTATCAGCCTATTGATATCCCGACTGCTGGGGCACAAGTCTTCCCTTATGAATGCGACCAAATAGCGAGAACGGGCTATGAGGTCGAGTAGGCATGGTGGGTGTTAACGTTTGTAGAACGCACTCGGCTAACGGCTTAACGTGCTTTCCAAAGAACTGAGGAGATAATATATTTTTGGTCACCCATCCTAGGACCGGCCATAGCGAAAGTAGCTTAACTCAGTATCGCAGACCAAATGCACTATCCACGCGCTGTCGTGCTCCTGCTGTAGCTTTTCATCTGGATGACATCGAAGAGGGAGAATAGACCATAACCACAGGGGGCCATGAGGGCAAAGTGCGGTTCAGTGAATGTTAAAGTCCTGCAGACGTAGCGGCGACCGATACGTTAGTGTGTATTCTGAAGTACGAAGGAGCTCCAGATAGGCCTGGATCTCTGCGATTTTTTACACTAGCCTGCCCCCACTTCCATCCACCCCTCCAAGATCCGGGGCTGGCTCCAGATCTTTTTTTGGGTCTCCCATCCTATAACCGTCCTTTGGGAGTTGCATAAGCTTTGCAACGCATAACAAACTCAGCAGCTACTGGGAATCAAGCTTTTCATCATATTAGCATAATACCTTAATTTACAACTTCTGATGCAAATAAAATATGGTGTAATTACATAAACTATATTGTTTTATAGTTCTGCGCAATTAAACGATTGCTTATGCATTTCCTGCATCATATTCTCAAAGTCAAGTTAAAAATTTATTCAGATCGGGAGTAATAATCCGCTCTTCATGTATTTTTTTTACCATAATAGTAATTCTTTTAACCGCATTTATAAAATATTACTATTTCATTTATGTCTGGTCTGGTGCCTGGAACTCAATTTTTTCTACCAATTTCTTACTATGGTTTTTATTTCATAGGTCATAAATAAAGATTTTACGTAAAAAATATTTTATACCTGACCACTGGCAACATAGTTGTCAGGCAACTCCAACTGTGGATAAATATTCTCCAAATACCACTGAAATGATTTGCAGTTAAGCTTATTCCGCAATTGGATACGATGAGAAACATTTCCAAAATTAGTTTTATCCTTTCCTATGGTATCATAAAAATATTGTGCGTATTCATCCATCCATACCTGAAGTAATTCAACAAACTTTATAATAATTGTATTTAAAGCTTTAAAAACGGAAGCACAGGTTGATGATCGAGTTCTCCGATTTTAATGACATAGACATGCTTCATAATATATATTAACATCACATACATTGCTCACAAAACAGAAAATAATGTAATATTAACCTGACAAAACCTAGCACCCATGAACTGGCGGTGAAACCTAAAAACTAAAAAGTGAAAACTTATTAAACTAAAAATTATTTTGATTTATTATATTAATTAAAGGTACAGGAATGTACAGTTTAAGTAACTGCTTTGTTCTATGTTAACTTCTTATTTCTTATGTTGTACTCGTACATTCATAATTAATTTTGTGAGTACTGACATTATTTCTCATCAGTAACATTTTCTTGCTTTGTTTATTTGTATTGTTAATTAATAGACTGCTGATCTGATCATTAAATTCTTTCACGAGTTACATAGCCTTATGAAACAGCTTGGAAATGATGTAAAAAAATAAAATAAAACAAAAGACGCTAAATGTGTACTTAAAAATTTTGGAGCAATAAAAAGTTTTTTGACGTAAATTAATCTCACTATAACTAACAGATATCTTAAGCTTGAAAGATGTAAATCTACTACCATTGTATTACATATACATATCACATTTTAATTATTTTACCCAAATATTCTATCTCTTTTAAACGACTAACAATGAATTTTGTTATTAGAATTATTAAGTGTGCTCGAAACTATACACTTATATATGCTCAAAATTCATGGTGAATAATAATTTACTGAATTCCCATAGTGTAATGCCTACAAAATAGAAATATTAATAAATTTCACTTTATTAAATATGTTTAAAAATCCACTTTGTTCCTAGTACTCTGAGATAGGACTCGAACCCATGACCAGTCGCCTGGATTGTGGGAAGATTGCAGATTCTTTAAGCAATTGTGAAAGTAAAATCGATTAAATATAAGAATATTACTTTGTTAAAGATAAATTGCGATGATATAAAGTACAAAAAATAAGATACCTCGGCCAACCTCATGCAATTTCTTCTTACGGCACCATTTTGCCCCGTATAAGGAATTCTCTTCCTAAAAACGTGCCCTACATGGGAGCAGGGTATTATTTCTAAAGAACCACCGCACATCCAAGTTTTGAAAGACAACTCCAGATTTTCAGCACCCCATATATCAAAACCTTCGTCGTAATAACCTAGTTTCCTAAAGAAATCTTTGTTTATAGCAAACAGTCCACCGGATATAGTTGGAGTTTTTATTGGTGCTGCTGGTTGATCTCTTTTAGCTAAGATATCGTGAGGTACAGGTTTCCATTTGAATTTCAATTCCCAGTTGAATCCACCTAGGAAGATTTCGTTTGTATTCTGAGCCATGTATTCGAATGTGGAATCGTGAATGTCATCCACCATTGGACTTGTTACGGTTGTTGGATCTTGTGCTATACTATCTAAAAGTGGTTCAAGCCAACCTGAAAAGTTTTATACAAATTTTTAGACAGATTAGGCCGCGTTATATTAAATAAATTGCAAATTATTATTTTTTACCATTAAGCTTGCACAATCTATGTATACAAAAAGCAAACCTGACTGACTTATACATCAACGTGCTGTACCTAAATTTAATTTAATCAACTTGAAATTTATTGCAGGTGTACTTTTCTTAATACAAGTGAGCGCTAAGAAAGGATTCTTAGAAATTCAACTCCTAAGGGCGTGAAAGAGGGAGGTGAAGTTTATATGGACCACGCGCGTGAAGGCGCTGGCGAAAAACTAGTATAAATAGATGTTTTATCTAAGTAAATCATTTATTTATATCGTGAAATTTAACTTATTAATACTTTTTTCACTTTCATATTTATTTAAGTTTACATAAGTACATTATATCCCAGATTTCAATTTATATAATTGTCCACAATTATACTAACAACACAAAAATAGTATACATTTTACCTATTGTACATTCACAATGACTGTCGAGAAATATAACGACAGGAGTAGTTACATCTTTTGTAGCTCGTATCCTGGCTCTTATAAGACCTTCGCGTTGTGTAGCCCGCTTTAGAACTACTTTCGGCAAATTACGCAAGTGATCTTCTAATGGTTTCTTTAAATGGTCTGCAATTATATTAACATTATGTGGAAACGGAAAACTGCTTTTATTATTACTTTTGGAGATTTAACTTAAGAGACAAATTTCAATATTAATAGAGAGTGCTCAATTTTTGAAATTCGTCCACAAAGTTTCAATATTTATTAGTAACATTTTACAAATCTTCATGTTAGATAAGATATTTTGATCGTTATCTCCATTTATTGTTATAAAAATATTGAAATATTATTTTACTTTTGATCGCCATTTTTCCCTAGAAAATAAAGGCCATCCGAATATTTTCTGAATCAATACATAACATTAATAGATGCCTGTTTCCATTCAGACATGTTAAGAATATTTGTAAAATGTGCCATTGCTGTGGTAAATCCTATTAAACTTGTATGTATTGTGGCATCATCGTTACTACCATGAAATAATTTATTATGTTTGCTTGTGTTTATTATGTTGTATTATGGTGGATTGAATATCAATTTTACATTTACTCTTTAAAATATTCTTGCAAACTGGGACTCGAACCCTTGACTTTTCGCAATCCGGGCGATTGCTCTAACTACCGAGCTGCCCAGCACTGACGAATTTTTCAAGCACTTGTTACTTTTTCGCTTTTACAGAGCATATTTTTATTAATGTTCAGGCAATCCACCCAAACAGACGAAAGTGGATGTTTACACGTGCACCTGCAATAAAAGTAGTTTCATGCAACAACTTTCGCAACATAAATCCGCCTTTAGGTCGACGTATTAAATAAATACGCATATACCCATCGTTGAAAAGTCATCAAAGAGTATGATTTCCTTCAGAAGCTGGGGTGGTGATCTATTTATAACGGAGTATACTGTCCTTAGTAAAGTAGACCAGGCTTCGTTGTGAAAACACACTACCACTGTTGCTTGAGGTAGATGCTTAGAATAATTCTGCTGTTTACACCTGAAAAATTGGTTTTCGAGAGTTTAGCATCGTATCTATTAATAGTATTATAAAAACATAAGATTTGATTGTTTGTTTGTGTCCAATAGGACTACTTAAATAATTTTAAAATTTAATCCTTTCGCCTGCGGGAAGCTATACGTGGATAACTCGCTATAATTTACACGGACGAAATTGCAAGAAAATAGAATATTTTAATTTTATAAAACCATGATATACAAAAACGACTATAAACACCTTATAACTAAATTAACTACACCATTGAATTCTTGCACTGATCATCATTACAGTATTTGTCTCAAATAGTGACAGTAAATATAAAATTTATTTAAACTTTTCTGACTTAAGCAACATTACAAGTTGGTTATACATCAGATACTCAATATCCATAGTCTGAATAGGAACATTATTATTTTGCCGTAAACACTCAATAACATGTCAGGTTATACAAAACTATCTTCACTTTATATTAATCTTGTTGCATTGATTTGAAATCAATTGCGTTTTACATATTGTGGTGCTACTGTACTTAGGTATGTACGCATGTACTGTACGTGTATGTGCCACTGTAGTTACGTGTACGCGCTACTGTACTGTACGTGTATATGGGCGCGGCCCATTATTTAATATTGATAGCTATAATTGCTTGTAAATTATATTTAAATTATTATTTACATTGTAAATTCAAAGAATTTAATAATATTCCTTTAATATATTCACCAATAATGAAATGAGGAGAATCAATTTAAAATATATTTCCAATTGCCGATTTCTTGGCAGTTAAAAGGAGTTCATTCAACGTTGAATGTTACTTAACATTTAAAAAAATTTAAGATTGTTATAATTCTATTTAATCGTTATAAAATCTTATAACATTAAATAATTACAAATATTTATTATTATAATCAATAATTTTAATAATTAATTCATACATAAATATGAATCTGCTTCCTTAGTTACTGTCGTTGAAAACACTAGAATGCAAATTGCAAATGGTTTGTTTATCTTGGAATTATATCTATAAATAATGTATTTAAATATTTATGTAATTATTTGATAGTTTTAATTTATAAAGTTATGTTTATGTTAATTAGTTCTCGCGTTGTTCACAAGTTCCGTATAAGGATATTGTTTTAAGAAATATGATATTAAGAGATCTACTGTGTTTTAGGATTTAAAAATGTATTTAAATTATATTTACTTGCATTTACGGATTTTCTTATTTATTGTTGTAATATATCTACAAATTAATAACAAATAAATTATGGTTCTTATTATAGACCCGCTGCTAAGTTCGGGACAATATTTTTGTGATTCTCGTTTATATGAAACGCCATCTTTGTAAACAGTTTTGTTGTCAGTGGAAATAAAGCGATATATCTATCTAGTTTTCGTTAATACCATGAATTCTGAGGTAGTAGCTTAGAAAGAGCCGTTATGTACGTGCTGCTGGATGTACATTATTATAACCCTTAATTATCATTGGACGGAGCACGCACAAAAACAATAAGTGCGAACAATAAGCGATAAATTATTTCAAAGTAATCGTTAAATAAATAACCGACTAAAAACAACGTCAGAGAACCTCTAATTTTAACAGCTAGTTGCACAAACGTCCATTAAAATATTCATTACTTTAAAGCGACATTACCCACACAAATTTGACATACATTAGAGTTTAAAATCGTCATTAAACCATAGGTAATAGACGTTTGTGCAACTGACCGTTAGTAAGGCGTCATTAAACCTTAATGGACGTTTATGCAACTGACCGTTAGTCTGTTAAAATACCAAAACCTTGTTCTAAGTGTACCAAATGATTTCTGAAAACGCATCAAATCTATTCAACCAAACGCGAGATCATTATGGTTAAACGTATATTTATTTATACAGATAACACCAAGAACCTTCTTTTTTGAAGTCGATTGAAAAACATATATTTAAGTATTTGTAGACTCACCAATCATCTCTCACATCAAGCAAACTTCTGTTCAAAGGTATAAGATCACTAACAAATTCATTGAAAGCATGTTCTTTCCAACCTTTACTTATTAGAATTTTCAAAGATTTCCTTATATCTGTATTTAGATAGACACCACTGCCATTTGCTCCTATAAGACATAATAGTAAGTTTAATAAGTATGATCCCCTTAGAAAATTGTGGTAGAGAAAATATAAACACTTATTACGTTAAAATTTTATAGTATGTGTTCGAGAAGCAGATGCACGCGCGCCTAAGGCCAGCTCAGACGTCAACGTCAGTTCCTCGTCAAAATAAAATATTTTGTTCAAATCGTGCATGCCACTATACAAAAGGCGAAATAGTAACTCAGTAATATTATAATCACTTCAATGATGAAGTATTAAAAAAAAACATTAGTTCCAGAAATCAAACTAGATGTCGCTACGGTACGTTCTTTATTTCTCCATGACTACCTTTCCGGTTTTCTTTTATGTTAAAAGGTAAATTAGTTTTCAAAACTCAAAAAACAACTTATATGCTATTTGTACTTATTCGTATTTGTATTGATATCTAAGTTTCGAACTTTCCAAATTTCAGTTGTTAAAAGGAACGCAAATGACTCTTTGGTCCATTCGTTTACTGCAAAAATCAACTTTTGCTAGAGTCGCCATCTAGTGGAGGTGCTTTTTAGTGCTTTCTTTTTTTTAAATACTTAAAAATCAAGTTATAAACACATATTTCGTAAATTAAACTTAAAGTTGTGATGCTGTGGTGCGTGAAAAAGTATATAGTAAACAAAATTTTTACCAGGAGATATGTCGTACTTTTTTATAGCCGTCATTTTTTCATCTACGCCTAGAGTTTCGACGGGCTTCATTAACTGCCAAGCTAAAAATAATAGATATAAAATCATCACCATCATTACATTTATTCACTTAATTCACTAACCCGCAGTATTTTTCCTAACTTTGGCCAATGCGAGTTGGTACAATTCGCATTGGCCAAAGGTTATCTGGTAGAAATTGCTACATTAGCAATAAGACATGTATGTTTCATGTTTATATTTCATTTTGTTTATATCTTTGTTTTTAGTTCAATAAAGTATATAAATTAAATCGATCAATTGTTTTTGCATTAGCAATGCTATAGGGGACACCAAAGGGTTTTAACACAAATGAGTTGAAGTAACCCTAATTTCTCGAAATTTGGAAACAACCAACTTGCTTGGTGTTTCATCTCATTTCTGTAATAAAACCTTTCGGTCTCCCCTAATAAAATACGGATATTTATCTCGAAGATAAATGCTTACTAAATCCACCAACTCCAGGTGAATACCCATAACCTTTCGTAATCTGGAGGACTGCTCTAATAAAGGTGAATTGCCTGAAGGTTAATGAAAATACACTGTTTTTTTAAAGATTTTTTTAGAGAAATTAGACAATATCGCCAGTTATTAGGGAACTCAATTGGTTAGAGCAGTCGCCCAGATTGCGGAAGTTTATGAGATCCAATTCAGAAAAGAGCAATTAGATCAATTTATAATCTTAGGATTAGGAACGCTTTAAGAAGGAAATTTCAAGAACTAGATATAATGATTGTTGTTTGTCAATATATATACAAGAACTTAATGTGCGTTCGTAAAAATATTAATTTATTTTCTATAAAAAGTGATGTACACAATTTTAATAAAAGTATTAAAAATAAATTAATGGTGGCTGTCACTAGACTGAAAAAAGTTAATAAGTCGTTTAGGGGTCTATGTGTGCGCTTCTATAATAAGGTCCTAAGCAAAATACAACAATCAGATATCATGCAGTTTAAATCTACTATTAAAAATATATATTTAAAAAAGGTTATTACAAGGTATCCGATTATATAACAGCTTGGAATTAAGATGGTCCAGCAATTAAATAGGTGATTTCTTCTACACTCATTGTATCTCAAAAATTATCTTATTGTTATTATTATTAAATTATTATGTTATCATTACAAGACTATACTATATATTTTATCTCTCTCTCTATTAATAATGTTTTGATCTGGTAATGACACGGTTTTTGTGAATGTTATTACTCCTATTAGAGCTGGTGAGTCTCTTGCTCATTCTTCTTATCAGCCAAAAGACGTCCTGTCCGGAACAAGTGGTAGGGAAACAATTGTTGGACGAGTCAAAAGTACTTTTGAGAAATCTATTTGAATTAATATAATTTTAACTTTGACTTCGATCTCATCTCACGCATCTGGGACTAGTGATTTTTTACATGATCATCAGCTTAATGTCAAAATAAAGCAATGTAATGAGGTACAAATTTTTATAGCATATAACTTTATGCATATCCATATCCATATTAGCTCGGTGGCATAGTGGATAAGCGCCGCGGTTCGCGATCGTTGTCGTTAAGCAACTTTCGCAAGGGTCGGTCACGGGATGGGTGACCAAAAAATTATTATCTCGAGCTACTTCGTGCTTCGGAAGGCACGTTAAGCCGTTGGTCCCGGCTGCATTTGCAGTCGTTAATACTCTCCAATCCGCATTGGGCCAGCGTGGAGGGTCATGGCCCATCCTCCTTAACCATCCATAAGGAAGGCCTGAGCCTCTGGAGTGGGGACATAAAAGGGCTGGTGCTGATGATGAAATCAAAATACACGAATTATCATAAAATATTTTCAGAATTAATTTACCTTGAAATATGGAGACATTTTCCGTTACAATTTCATATTTATATCTATTCGTGAACGCATCTAATGCTTGTTCATATATTTCACTTTCACTTAATAATATCAAAGATCCGGAATCATGATCCTTCATAATTGTTATGAGGGACATTAACCACACAATAACTATTAATGCGAATATTTTCAATAGTTTCTTAATCATTTTCTTTGTATTACAATAAAGACTTCGCCAGACCTTTTTCTGCGAGAAAACTATCGAGAAAACCGTGAATCGCTGCGGTATGGGAGAGAATATAGTTTGATCGTTTATTCGAAACGGTCCAATTCTGGTAACTTTTTATAATTCTTCGCGTTTGCGATAAAAAGCGAACATCAATTTGAGGATAACGTATTGTCGGGAGTCACGTCGCTTAGGATACGAGAATTATTAGCAATTATAACTATATATCCTTATAAAAAGGTAATCTAGAAAAACCTGCAAAAAAGATTTGTATCTACATTTATTTTTGATCAGGAATTTGTTTCTTCTATACTTTAATAATATTATAAAGAGGAAAGATTTGATTGTTTGTTTGTTTCTTTGCAACGAATAGGCTATTCTAAACATTCTTTAACTAATGGGAAGCTACATGATATGCATTGAACATGTGCTATATTTTATCTCAAAAAACGGCAAATAAAGGGATGAAAATGGAAGTGGAAGTTTTTATAGGGAATTAAAACGTCATATACCCATTGTTTACGATTCAAATTGTCATTGTAATTATAGCCGTGTCAAAGAGTAAACTATATCCGTGTCATGATATGAAACATTTAAGCTTAGATTTGGGTTTATTGTAGGCCACTTTTTATTCCACTAAAGTTCCTTGGAGTCCATGCGGGTAATGCTACTGACGGAAACCTAGTTTTGGTCATAAAGTCAATGACGATTGGCAAATATCTTCAATAGAGTTTTATTTTATTATAAAAAAAAAAAACTTTCAACGAGTTTATTCGTTTCCTTGTAGATTTTCTATGCTTCTTGGATAGTAGTTGTTTTTGTAGTCTTACTTTTGAAATGATTCTGAAATTAAATAGAATAAATTAATTCGTCATTAGGATAAAATTAAACCAGAATATTCATGAATAGGTGCGTTTCATTCGGTTTGTCAATACAACGAGCGGTTGTTCCTTGTTCCCACAGCTGAAAGACAAATAAACAACACAAATATTGACTCGACACACAATGAATACACATTTATTCGTTTACCTTCAGAATAGTTAGCGATAGGTCGAAATTGTGTGATAATATCACAGTGTTCTACTCACTGTGATATTATCACACTATTGGATGCAAAACATGTTTTAGATCAATAATATAATATATAGGTAGTAAAAATTACATCATAATTGTCACCCTATCAGTGTCCAGTTTTGGAAATAGGTATCTTCCAAGTCAATCCTTGTCTGTCGGTTTTGAGCCCTTTCCATCCATCCTCCCATCTTATGGGTGGAGGACCAAGTGACCTATTGTTTTCGCGGGATCTGCACTTTTCAAGCCATCTTGTCCACACGTACCTGTTCCATTTACATAGGACAATTACGAAGATCACGACATTCAAGAAAAATTACATAGATATCCTATATAAATTTGATTAGTGCTTGTTATTACAGAAAACTAACCAGCTTCAAATTGAATAAATCAGACAATAATAATATTTATTATAAACTATCTTCTTTTACAATAAACTTAAAGCTAGATATATTTATACATGAAAAAATAAACATAGCAAACCAATGAAAAATTTATTTGGTGCAAAAACAAAATTACAAATGACTACTAAAATAAAACAAAAGTAACTTTTCTACTAAAGTAACATTCAAAATATTATCCTAAATTACCTGGAATTGATTTTTTTATATTTGAGGATGCTTTGAATAAAAAAAACATAATGCTTTATTCATTTTAACATTATAGATAACATGCTCTACTGGAAAAATAAAACACCAGTGTTTTATGTCGAGTACAGGGTTTTGGGTGAATTACGGCGGCCTACACTTTTTATTATATAAAGCAATCGGATTTATCGTTATAAAATCTGCATGAATTATTATTACAGAACATTAACGAATTATTTTGTTCTATTTTTTTATATTGTCTTACAAAGATAATGTTAATTTTAAATGCACAATCTTTCCTATGAGATAAATCATCATCATCATCACCAGCCCTTTTACGTCCCCACTGCAGGGGCTCAGGCCTTCCTTATGGATGATTAAGGAGGATGGGCCATGACCCTTCACGCTGGCCCAATGCGGATTGGAGGGTAATGAGATAAATACTCTCCTATAATTGACGTGCATATTTTAAACCTACCTTTCTTAGTACCTACGTAGTCTGTGATCCTCCATAATACGAGATTTAAGCTACTAATATTTGAATCTGAGCAATGTATGTGATGTTATCTAATATTTAAGTATTTAAAAAAGACTATTGCAAGTCAGACTTGCGCGCGAAGTGTTTCGTAACTTTAACTATACAACACAAAAACAAATATATTACTTATTCTGGTTTCAGTATTTATTCTTATAGCGGCAACTAGAATACACTATTTGTGAAAATTTCAACTGTCCAACTATCAGGATTCATAGGATACAGCCTGGAGACAGACTGACAGGTGGGCGGACAGTGAAGTTAGTAACAACACTTTGGATAAGAGTATATAAAAATTGTAAGGGACACTCCGTGGGCTAGTCCAATTCGCGCTTGTACACTTTTTTATTATAACACAAGATTATAAAACAAAGTAAGTATTACGATTGCGAATATTACACAGTAACCTTGCGATAAGCGTATTCTAAAATTTTAACAGTAATAGCTTTTATTTGTACGCCATCAAACTAAAATAAGTATATTTTCGTAACGTCGAATGAAAAATAGGCGCGGCTAACCCCAAACCGGAGTTTAGTGATTTATAAAAGCAATCAATTCACCTAATTTTCTTCTGTTAGAGAAATCTTTTTTCGTTGTACCTCGTTAACTTCGGTATTTACCTACCTTAGCCTCAATTTAATTTAACGATGCCCTTATAGAAGCAAATCTGAAGGGCCCATTCTTTTTGTCGTACTCTTTCTTGCTTTTTGACACAAACGAATTCAGAGTTGTATTAAGTGTGCTTGTAGCTT